GCCTGCCTGCCTCTGTAGACTCCACCTCTGGGGGCAGGGCATAGCCAAACAAAAGGCAGCAGAAACCTCTGCAGACTTAAATGTCCCCATCTGACAGCTTTGAAGAGAGCAGTGGTTCTCCCAGCATGGAGTTTGAGATCTAAGAACGGACAGACTGCCTCCTCAAGTGGGTCCCTGATCCCCAAGTAGCTTAACTGGGAAGCACCCTCCAGTAGGGCCAGACTGAAACCTCACATGGCTGGGTACCCCTCTGAGACAAACCTCCAGAGGAACGATCAGGCAGCAACATTTGCTGTTCAGCAATATTCACTGTTCTGCAGCCTCCACTGCTGATACCCAGGCAAACAGCATCTGGAGTGGACCTCCAACAGACTCCAACAGACCTGCAGCTGAGGGTCCTGACTGTTAGAAGGAAAACTAACAAACAGAAAAGACATCCACACCAAAACCCCATCTGAATGTCACCATCATCAAAGACCAAAGGTAGGTAAAACCACAAAGATGGGGAAAAACAGAGCAGAAAAACTGAAAATTCTAAAAATCAGAGCACCTCTCCCCCTCCAAAGGAACACAGCTCCTCACCAGCAACGGAACAAAGGTGGAAGGAGAATGACTTTGACGAGATGAGAGAAGAAGGCTTCAGATGATCAAACTTTTCTGAGCTAAAGGAGGAATTTCGAACCCATCACAAAGAAGCTACAAACCTTGAAAAAAGATTAGATGAATGGATAACTAGAATAACCAGCGTAGAGAAGCCCTTAAATGATGTGATGGAGCTGAAAACCATGGCACGAGAACAACGTGACAAATGCAAAAGTTTCAGTAGCCGATTCAATCAACTGGAAGGAAGGGTATCAGTGATTGAAGATCAGATGAATGAAATGAAGCAAGAAGAGAAGTTTAGGGGAAAAAAAGAGTAAAAAGAAACAAACAAAGCCTCCAAGAAATATGGGGCTACATGAAAAGACCAAATCTATGTCTGATTAGAGTACCTTAAAGTGATGGGGAGAATAGAACCAAATTGGAAAACACTCTGCAAGATCTTATCCAGGAGAACTACCCCAACTTAGCAAGGCAGGCCAACATTCAAATTCAGGAAATACAGAGAATGCCACAAAGATACTCCTTGAGAAGAGCAAAGATACTCCTTGAGAAGAGCAACTCCAAGACACATAGTTGTCAGATTCACTAAAGTTGAAATGAAGGAAAAAAAGTTAAAGGCAGACAGAGAGAAAGGTCTGGTTACCCACAAAGGGAAGCCCATCAGATTAACAGTGGACCTCTAGGCAGAAACTCTAGAAGCCAGAAGAGAGTGGGGTCCAATATTCGACATTCTTAAAGAAAAGAATTTTCAACCCAGAATTTCATATCCAGCCAAACTAAGCTTCATAAGTGAAGGAGAAATATAATCCTTTACAAACAAGCAAATACTGAGAGATTTTGTCACCACCAGGCCTGCCCTAGAAGAGCTCCTGAAGGAAGCACTAAACATGGAAAGGAACAAC